TCCTCATGTTATAAAGTTTTGGTAAAGCTAAAGACTGTACAGAGATTGTATGAACAGACTGTATAGTGTATGGCCACGTTTAGAAAAACACAGCATCCAAAATATGAGAAGTTCTGCTATGCAGAATCAATACATACAGAACAAGAACAGATACTCAGAATTATTTCCAACATACAGAACAAGAGAAGTGGTACTGGGCAGTGTTCAAACATATAGAATAAGAACAGATACTGACAATTGCAGCACACAGATAATGAAAAACAAAATTATATCCATTATACAAATAAAAAACACAAACGTAATAATATTATGCAATGCTTTCAACCTTTCACCAAAAACAAAAAAACTACATTTACTGCATCTTACACATTGGAACATATCATGACTGTTCTGCAAAATAAGGGACCCCCGGTAACTATGCAAGGAAGAGGACTGTTTGGGTATTGCATGTATGAGAGGAATTGATGGGGATTTATACAGAGTGAGAGGGGTTTAGGGTAAGCCAACATGGCTGATATACAGTGCCTTGAAACAGTATTTTATACCCCTTGAAATTTTTCCACATTTTGTCATGTTACAACCAAAAACTTACATGTATTTTATTGGGATTTTATGTGATCGACACAACACAAAGTGGAACATAATTGTGAAGTGGAAGGAAAATGATAAATATTTGTAAAACAATTTGAAAAAACAAATATCTGAAAAATGTGGCGTGCATTTGTATTCATCCTCCTTTACTCTGATACCTCTAACTAAAATCTACTGGAACCACTTGCCTTCAGAAGTCACCTAATTAGTAAATAGAGTCCACTTGTAATTTAATCTCAGTATAAATACAGCTGTTCTGTGAAGCCCTCAGAGGATTGTTAGAGAAAAACAGCATCATGACGGCCAAGGAATACACCAGACAGTTCAGGGATAAAGTTGTGGAGACATTTAAAGCAGGGTTAGGTTATAAAAAAATATCCCAAGCTTTGAACATCTCACAAAGCACTGTTCAGTCCATCATTCAAAAATGGAAAGAGTATGGCACCTACCAAGACACGGCCGTCCACCTAAACTGACTGGCCAGGAAAAGAGAGCGTTAAACAGAGAAGCAGCCAAGAGGCCCATAGTAACTCTGGAGGAGCTGCAAAGATCCACAGCTCAGGTGGGAGAATCTGTCCACAGGACAACTATTAGTCATGCACTCCACAAATATGGCCTTTATGGAAAGTGGCAAGGAGAAAGACATTGTTGAAAGAAAACCATAAGAAGTCCTGTTTGCAGTTTGCGAGAAGCCATATGGGGGTCACAGCAAACATGTGGAAGAAGGTGCTCTGGTCAGGTGAGACCAAAATTAAACTTTTTGGCTTAAAAGCAAAATGCTATGTGTGGCGTAAAACTAACACTGCACATCACCCTGAACACACAATCCCCACCGTGAAATATAGTGGTGGCAGCATCTTGTTGTGGGGATGCTTTTCTTCAGCAGGGACAGGAAGGATGGGAGGATGGATGGAAATACAAGGCAATCTTAGAAGAAAACCTGTTAGAGTCTGTAAAAGACTTGAGACTGGGACGGAGGTTCACCTTCCAGCAGGACAACGACCCTAAACATACAGCCAGAGCTACAATGGAATGGTTTAGATCAAAGCATGTTCATGTGTTAAAATGGCCCAGTCAAAGTCCAGACCTAAATCCAATTGAGAATCTTTGGCAAGACTTGAAAATTGCTGTTCACAGACCCTCTCTATCCAATCTGACAGAGCTTGAGCTATTTTGCATAGAAGAATAGGCAAAAATTTTACTCTCTAGATGTGCAAAGCTGGCAGAGACATCGCCAAAAAGACTTGCAGCTGTAATTGCAGCAAAAGGTGGTTCTACAAAGTACAAACTTTAAATTTGTGTGTGTCTATATTTTCTATCGGTGACACTTCAAAAGCCTCTACAGGTCATCAGTTTAGTGTTACAAAAGAGGTTTTGTGCCAGAGTTATTGCTCTCACTCAGGCATGTGCGGTAATAGATAACATGTGTATCGCAATCAACATTTTCATGAGTAGGCACCCCCTGAAGTGTGCCTTTACATTCGTATGTGTGTATATGTGGGGCTCATAATTTTTTGGGGAGGGATGTTATGTGCTTGGCTGTAACTATTTTTTGCAATTTAAAAAATATTTTTTTACATCACTTTTTTTCACCACATAGGGACAGGTTCTGTAAAAGACCCTGCATGTCTCCTCTGGGCTCCGCTGCATGTATCGCAATGCAGTTTGCAAGACATTTTTCCCTGGCTATTCTAGCTGGGGAAAGTGACAGTGTTGACCTGGAAGTGACGTTATATACATCGCTTTCTGGGTCACAGCAAGAAGGGAAGGAGAGTGGACGTTGAGCCGCCCTACTACTTCCACCTGACAGGCAGGAGATTGTCTGTCGGTTTTTGACACAGTCCCAGTGGCTGCTGCCATCGGATTGTGTAAAACCCCCTGCTCTCAGGTCCAAAAACATTTTTCTGTAGCAGGAGGCCGTTTGTTTGCCAAACCCACATGGAAGAAAAATATATTTCAAATATATTTAAAAAATATTCTTTCCAAATATATTAACATATATTTGAAATACTACAATTTTGGCCATATTCATTTTATATATATATATATATATATATATATATATATATATATATATATATATATTGATTTGGATTTCTCTTCTGTTCATTTACTTTCCATTTTGTTAATTGATAAACTATGAACACATCCATTTCTGAAAACAATGTTAATTTGAGCATTTTTTCACACCTGCCTAGAACATTTGCACAATAGCATTTATTCCACACAACCTTCTTGTACTTCCTAACCCCTGGAATACTTGAACTGTATTAACTCATTAGACTCATTTTTCCCTTCCCACCTGTTTATGTGATATCAGGATAAACCTGTCATGTTTCAAAAGAAGGGGCCGGACCCCTGTGTTTGTATACAACAAGAAGAATAATGAAATACATCCTAAGCTCAGCCCCTTTTTAATTGGAAAGGAAAGACCTTCTGTGGATGGCTTGTGAATAATTTATTTCTCTGGAGACCAGGCTGAACTAAGAAAACAAGTGTTACCATGACAACCTGTTGTATCTACAGTATCCCTGAGGTTCCCTCTTTACTAAGGTATGACTCACACAGCTGACATAGTAGAACAGAATCCGCTTATTCACAGGGCTATTATAACACAGCTCTGCAGCACTGCCAAGATGTTTTAATAGAAACATGAAATCTGACAGCTGATAAGAACAACCTGGCCCACCTAGTCTGCGCTTCACACCATATGGGATCATTATGAAAATGTTATATTTATGGTACTATAGAGTATATTCAGAATATGAAAAGGTCTCACGGTAGGGCAGTCATTTGGGACGCAGTACAATGTGCATTGAATTTGGATCCTCTTACAAGCCACTTTAACTATTTTAAATTGCAGACTTGCATGATTGACGAATTTTGAAAACTTTATTTTTGCTCATGTTCTCTGACACATCATCAATTAATGGCGATTTTGGAGAGTTTATTGAGGAATCTGAAAAAAGGCACCATTTTCCGTAACTAGAATTCCTTCTTTCTGTGGAGGCTGTATTTGTATTGAAAAGCAAACAAATCATTGCATTGAAAGGTCAGACTGCAAAGCTTTGGCAGGAGGTGATTCACATAGATCTCAACCTGATTAATGGATAATGAAACCAAACACAGAGTTACTGTACACAGTTTTGTTTTTTTTAATTAAAAACAAACAAATAAAAAAAACGATTCCCTAAAGCCCCATAAATATGATGAGAATATTGTACAAATGATCCTTTTTTTTTTTGCATGCTAGTCTCATATCGAAAGCGGGTTTCCGAAAATTCTTGTACAACAGAATAAAAAAATTAAAAAGTGATGTAATGTATTGTATTTGTATCGTATTTTCAGATGAAAACCCTACTGATAAAATGAAAATCGTACGATCTGGTATACGAGAAACATTTTCGTGCTTGTTCCTTCTAATAGTTTCAGACGAAAGCTGTGTGCTAACAATCAGATTATCGTACAATTGCTTCGAAAGTGATAGTTTTCATATGATTTTCTGATCATGTGTACTAGGCTGTAGAATATACACCTGCAGCCTAATTTTATGATCACCCACACAAAGAATTTTTCCTGCTACTTTAAGAAGCGTTAAGCAGCCTATGTGTCCATTCACACTATGACTTTTAGAAATTTTTAGTGTCAGGGACATTTAGAGGCTTTAATAAAACCTAGGGACAGTGCATTCTGCAGTAGTGGTGTTTTGGCAGAAAAAATGCTTGACATACTTATAGCACTTAAATGTTAATTTATTTCAATGGTCAGAATAACTGATTTATTCTGGCCAATTAAATTAACACCCAAACTCTTGAAGTGGGTAAATACGTGTAAATAAGCATCAGGTTTTTATGGGCCAAAACGCTGCTGCCAGGAAGAAACTTCTAGGGCAGTTAAAAAATAAAAAAAGCAGTGTGCATGAGGCCTAATATTGAGTAAGTCCCCCTTCTGCCACCAAAACAGCCCTGACCCATAGAGGCATGGGTACCACTATACCACTGAAGGTATGCTGTGGTATCTTACTCCAATCCATTAGTAGCAGATCCTTTAACTACTTGCCAACCGCAGATAGCCGAATGAGGGCTACACTTCGGCCAGCCAGTTCTGGGAGGGCGTTATATGATGTCCTCCCAGAACGTGCTCTCCTGCGCGGCCCCCCCGTGGGCGTGCACCTGGCGATCTCCGTGATCACTGTGTCCTACGGACACAGCTGATCATATGATGTGGTAAAAGGCCAATCACAGCCAATGACATGCTCATTTCCGGGAAATGCAATTGCCGGTTCTCGGCTGCACTTGACAGCGTGAGGAAAGTACTGCCGAGAACCATCAGTTGTCAGAGCAGGGATTGGCACCAATCATCAGGGCACTGATGATCAGTGCCCTGATGATCGGTGCCCAGCAGTGCCACCCACCAGTTCCGCCCACCTGTGCCCAGAAGTGCACCCTCCTGTGCCACCCAGCAGTGCCACACACCTGTGCCCAGAGGTGCCACCCACCAGTGCCCACCCACATGTGCCCACCAGTGCCACCCACCAGTGCCCATCAGTGCAGCCCAACAGTGCTGCCAGTCAGTGCCACTAGTCAGTGCCCAGCGGTTGTGCCAGTCAATGCCCAGCAGTTGTGCCAGTCAATGCCCGGCAGTGATGCCAGTCAGTGCCACCTATCAGTGCTGTCTATTAGTGCCATATATCAGTGCCGCCTATCCGTGACACCTCATTAGTGCTGCCTATCAGTGCCGACTATCCGTGCCACCTCATTAGTGCTGCCTATCAGTGCCCATCAGTGCTGCCTAATCAACGCACATCAGTGAAGGAGAAAAATTACCTGTTTGAAAAATGTTATAATAGAAACAAAGAAATGGGGTTTTTTTTCAAATTTTTTTGAACTTTTTTTTGTTTATAGTGCAAAAAGTAAAGTGCCCAGCAGCGATTAAATACCACCAAAAGAAAGCTCTATTTGTGAGAAAAAAATTATAAAAATGTCATATGGGTACAATCTTGCATGACCGCGCAATTGTCAATCAAAAAAAAAAAAAATTGGCCTGGTAAAGAAGGGGGTATAAGTGCCCGATAGGCAAGTGGTTAAAGGCTAAGTTCACAATAATAAATGCACATATTGTTACAGTAAAAAAAAAAATGTGCATTTATTTATTTTTTTTCACAGAAGCCTGCAAAGCATTGCACCCACAATCAGTAGATCATGGGTGCAATGTCAGGCTCCTGCAGACACTGCTTAGAACTCTCTGCCTGTACCTCTTTATGGGCAGACAATTCCTGAGCTGTAGACAGTCCTGTAAATTGCAAGTTGAGGCCTTCATGGACTAGAATTTTTTCCCAGCTAATCCCACAGATGCTCAACTGGACTGAGATCTAGAGAATTCGGAGGCCAAGTCAACACCTCAAACTCATTATTGTGTTACTCAAACCATTCTTGATCCATTTTTGCAGAGTGGCAAGGTGCATTACCCTGATGAAAGAGGCTACTGCCATCAGGGTATATCATTTGCATGAAAGGATGTTTGTAGTCAGCAACAATGTTTAGGTAGGTGGTATGTTTCAAAATATCCATATGAATGGCAGGCAGTGTTGCCAACCTACCAGATTGAAATTTACTGACACAACGCCCAAATTTTACTGGCACAGCCATGTTTTTACTGGCATTTCCAAAAGTTAAAAAACTACAGTTGTAAGTGCAAATTTTAGTATTTAGGCTACAGACAAGTACAATGTGCAATTATCAATGTGATTTAGGTAGATAGTAAAGCAGTAACAAACTACAGAAAAAAATAACAAAGGCATAATGTGGCACTAATGCATCGCATACTAGCACAATACGAAGAACCTGCCTTAAAATGAAGCCCTCCAGCAGCGTGCTGTTACCGCTGCAGAGGCTTCCATCTTCAACTGGTCTTCCTTCCAGGTTCCCAGGCTACAGCCACTTAATTGGCTGAGCTGTGATGACATCACTTCCATGCATGACAATGGGAGTCTCGGCTGTGGCACACAGCTCTGAAGGAATGGCACGGGTATGTCGTTCCTTCAGAGCTCATGCACGAGTGACGTCACCAGCTGCTAGAATATCTCCTAACAAAATACCATATGGACCGTGCATAAACTAAGTGCAATAAAATATGCGATAAAAAAATAAAAATATTGCTTCACATGTGTTAAATAAATAATAACATTCAGTCCCAATTCATGAGAACAAAGTGCCCAGGTGATAAATGCTTAGTTGTGAACTTCGTACAAAATGATAGGTGCTCCACTGTGCTCAAACGGTGCCCCAAATGGATGTGCACTCACCATCATGTGTGGACCACCTATCTCTAGGATGGCTGTTTGCCCTTTATTTGGGAATAACCCAATACGTGGCAATACGAATGGTACCAATAACACTGTTCAACAGGTAAAAAGTTTTGGGCATAAAATTAGCTAATCTTACATAATTTTGGGGTGCTGAAAACGAAAATGACCCTAAAAAATGTTGATTGGCTCTAGTTTCCATGATATATTCACCCATCTAATGACGTAAGCCATTCAAAATTATGATGCAACTTCAGCTGCATATTGCGCAATTGATACTGGTGACCAATAGAAAATTGCATGTATACTGAGATGATGCAATATTAGCCTTTAATTGCATCACTTCACTGCATAAAAGCTGCAGTATCTGTAGCTGATTGTAGTTCGACAGCGTCTTTACATTACGTTTTATCCTTATATAGGCTACTCAGTAATGCCTCGAACTTGTGTGAATAAAGCAGATAATTTCTGCTATATCTGCGGTGAAATAAACTTTTATCTCACAAAAAAGGAGGATAACAGGAATGATTAAGAAAGCCTACAACTTGTATTTTGGCTGCAAGATAGGAGACCAGGACAAGAGCTGGGCACCACATATATGCTGCAATTCTTGTTGGACGGCACTGGAGCAATGGTTGAATGGAAAAAAGGCATCTATGCCTTTCGCTGTGCCAATGATTTGGAGAGAGCCAACAGATCATGTTAGTAATTGTTACTTTTGTATGGTGCCTCCAATTGTAAAAGGGCTAAATAAGAAGAAAAAGTTATCTGTGCACTATCCAAATATTCCATCGGCAATACGTCCAGTTCCTCATGGAGAGTGGCTACCAATTCCTAAAGCACCAGAATCCTTCGTGGTTGAGTCAAGTGAGGAAGAACCTGAAGTGTGTAGTCACGTGCAGTTGTAAGAGATAGCCCTTTCCTCGAATACAAGAGAAAAGCCAAGAGAAGCAAAACCGACACAAACTGAAGACAAAACTAGTGAGAATCCTAAGTATTAAAATGATTCAACTTAGCTTATGGCTATAATTTTTCTTGGTAATCCTATGCAATATATTATGCCATTTAGGCTTTGTTATGTAGTCAATATCACTTGCTTTATATTTGTGGAAAGACATCTATCTATATAATTATTGTGCATTATGTAGTCATTACGCCTATCGTAGAAAACTTTCCGTTTACAGAAAAACTAGAGCCAATTGACAAATTTCATTGTTATATTTGAACTCAGAATGTGAAATTCATTAAGAAATGGATCCTTTTGTTTCCAAAACTGGCAAAAAATAAAAATTTGTTGAACAGTGTAATCCTTCCCGCAATGTGGCTGATGGTAACAGATAAGATTTTGAACGGCGTTGCTATTAGTAACAGTGTGACTCCACAGGAGCTGTATCAAAATTCCTCCTCTCCTCCCAGGCGGTAAAGCAAGTATCAGCATGCAAACAGAAACAAAAGCCCATAACCTGGCACTCAATGTATTCAGCCTTGTTGCCTGTGAACAGGAACCAAGATGGCCGCCGCATTCCAGGGTGCATTCCAAAGGGCGGAAGGAAATTATGTCAGCGGAAGTTGCGTCATCAAACCTCAAAGCGTTTTGATTAGTGGATTGTCATCAGGAAGTGCAAAATCTGCCATTTTGGAGATGGTATTTATACACTGCAGTCATAATGCCACTTACTGCAGCTGTGTCACTTATTTCTTGCCCAAATTAATGAATAATTAACTGCAACATTGCTGGATACAGAATATAAGTGCCGAATATGCTTGGACTAGCATCCAAATATTAATATTAAATCCTTAAATAAATCAATTCCCATGGTGTGAGGCAATGGAGTTCTTAAAGGGAAAGACCTTACCATCTAGTTATGCCTCTACACCTTAATTAAATACAATGTTAATAAAATTATAATGTCATTCTGCTTTGGTTTAAAGAATGCTCAAATACAGCTTTATGTTTTATCCAAAGAGCGCCAGCACACCACTGCAAAGAGTACCCCAGTACACCATCTAGATCTGCCGTTTATCCATTCACTGGGTATTCAAAGGTGGTCATTCTAGGACTGGATAGCAACCCTGTCACATTTAGTTATAATATTCATTTATAAATCTGCACTACCTCCTTAATAGTTGTCCAAACGTTCCCTAGTACTTTGGGGGGAATAGTTAAAGCGTTATTAAACCGAAAACCAAAAAATGTTATATTGCAGCTTACCAATTATAAGATTTATTTTTGTCTTTTATCCCTCTGTTTTCACGTGGTGATCTGGTCAGTAACACATGTCCAGTATTAGTGAGACACCACTCTGGAGAAATGAGTACAGGAGACAGTAGACAGCACTACTGTCAGTCTGCGGGGAGGGGAGTGTTACATGTATTAGAACATTTGAATACAATAACACATTGAAGCCAAACTCCAGCTTACACTTTATAAACAGTTACTGAAAACATGTTTTCCTTTTGGAAAAAAAAGCTTTTCATGAATAAATAAAATCTGATCATTTTAATCACCCCTGTCAGTGGTAAATGGATGGTCTCATCCATGTAAACTGATACATTCTGCTGGAGAGCTTTAACTTCTGAAAGAGTTGCTGGCTGTATCACCAGATGAAAATAGGAGGAAAGCCCAAAAAGAAATCGAATGCAGCCATCACATCTAAGAATTGGTATGCTGCAATATACAGTAATACATTTTTGCTTTCAGGTTTAATACTGCTTTAAAGTGTTACTAAACTCAGGACCTTGCATTCACTATATCTGGTCTCTCACAGTACACAAAACATGGAAATGCAATTATTTTAGTAAATATAAACTGCTAAATACCTTTTCTCATCAGTGGTTAAAGCAGTCTTGGGACTTCTATCAGTGTTCAGCAGAGCACTGGTTAAAGCTTGTATGAGGAGTTTTCATTCTCCCTTGATTGCTCTATGAAGATGCAGGTCCCCTGGCCCTCTGTCTGGACAATGCCGATTGGCCCTGTGCTGATCACATGCACCCCCTCAAAGAAAAAAAAAAAAAAAAGCAATAGCAATACACACAAAACTGAGCATGTGCAGTTTTGCCCCCAAAGCTCTGTTCTAGATGAATCGGGGACAGTGGAAGAAGTGGAGGATCAAACATCCTTTTTACACAATGCAGAGGATTAACCCCTTAGGTTTCCCAGTGAGTAGAACAAGCATGCTTTGCAGGATATACAAACGGATTTTACAGTTGAGGGTTTAGTAACACTTTGAGCCCTAATCCTGCAACCTCCAAGCAATAAAATACAGTGAAATTTAGAATTTATACATTAATCAACAACTGTTATTATTATTAGTAGTACTATGTAGTAGTACTAATAGTAGCATGAAGGTAAAAAAAAACTTCTCTGTGCAGCATCCCCCCCAGCCCCCCCCCCCCCCCCCCCCCCCCAATACTCACCTAAGCTTCCTCTCGATCCAGCGATGTGCACTGGAGTCTCGGCTATCCAGGAACTCCCTCTCCTCATTGGCTGAGCCACTGGCTCCCACTGCTGTCAATCAAAACCAGTGAGCCAATGAGAAGAGAGAGGGGGCCATGGATCTGTGTGTGAATGGACACACAGAGCAATAGGTGCCCCCATAGCAAGCTTCTTGCTGTGGGGGCACCTGACAGGAGAGAGGGGCCAGCAGCGCCGGCATGGAACCTGAGAAGAGGAGGATCAGGGCTGCTCTGTGCAAAACCACTGCACACAAGTATAGACATGTTTGTTATTTTTAAAAAAATTTAAAACCTTTAGAATCACTTTAACTCTAGCAACAAGAAAATAAAAAGCCCTCTAAAATGAAACATAACAATGTATCAGCCACATAAGGGAATTTACCTATAGGCAGGAAGGTCCAGACTGCTGAACTTTTTAGCAGCTTCCAGAAGACATGCAAACTCCTACTACTCCACAGCTGCACTAGGAGTTTTCTGTCTTTACGTGATGCTTCCAGGGGGTAAACTTAAGGCTCCATGTATACTGCAGCGTTTAGGAGCATTTCTGCGTTTTTTTTCAGCAGCCCCTGAACTCACCCTAATGTTTTCCTATGTGTCCATGTACTCTTTGTCGTTTACAGTTGTTTACAGGCAGTTGAGTTTACAGTCATTTTTTTGAAAGCACCAAACTTGCGTTTAGGAGTAGATTTTGTCAGTGTTTCAAAGCCAGACGCTTGTAAACGCGACAAACCGCGTTTATAAGCATTTGGAATTTTTTTTTTAACTCTTCCATTTCCAGATGCTGTCCAGAGCCTTTTTTTCATCATGAAAAATGTATGCAAAGCGTTTTCCCGGTACTCAAATGGACCTGGTACACCATACTTTGATGTTTTGCATGAAATAAAATATGTTAGACACTGCTGCAATAATTTCTGCACAGAAATGAGCTGGAACACATCCAAACACCACAAAAAAATACAGCTGATCTCAACAAATACTGCTCTCTCTGCTTCTGCTCTCTCTATTTCTCTCAAAATGTCTGAAATAGTTACCTTTTTACTGTTTCAGTGCATTCTGGGCATTTTGGAAGGTCTCTTGAGGTTATCTTTAAAAAAACCCTTCTAAACGCAAATGCTCATAAACGCGCATAAAAAACAGACAATGTTTATTCTTCGTTTTGCAGCAGTCAGTTTCCACCGTTCAGAAGTGTCCTGTGTACATGGAGCCTTACCCTTTTGGGATCAAAGTGTCTGTAGTCAGAGGTGGAAGTTCTATTCCCACCTGAATATCTCTCTAAACCTCTAAAATTCTGGGTCCTAAATTTGACATAATTAAAAACCACTTCAAGTCCGGACACTTTTACCCCCTTCCTGTCCAGGCCAATTTTCAGCTTTCAGTGCTATTACACTTTGAATGACAATTGCGCGTTCATGCAACACCTGTTGCATGACCGCAACAGGTCATTTAGACAGATAAAACTTTATTTTGGTGGTATTTTTTATTTTTTTAGCTATATAAATGAAAATATCCAAAAAGTTTTTAAAAAAAAGTGTTTTTCTTATAAAATTTTGCAAATAAATAATCTTCCTTCATAAATCTTGGCCAAAATTTATTCAGTTATATTTTTAGTTTAAAAAAAAATAACTCAAATTAGTTTATAACCAAAAATTATAATTTTTTAAAAAAAAGTTTACATTTTTACTTTTTCATATTATTTACGTTTTTTTTACATGCTGTCACCCTAGCAGTACAGTTGTGGGGGTTATGAAGATTTTTTTTTTTTTTTTTTTTACACGGATTGCTTTTACACCCATAAAGGCTGTAAAAGCAATCATTTATCCTTCTCTCTGGCTGCATTCTTGCAGCCATTGAGAAATACCGTGTGAGCTGTGATTGGCCAATCAGTGATCACATGATCAGGACCTCGCACAGAGGTCCTGTACAACAATCGGTGTTCCTCTGTGTCCAGATCGCAGTGCTGCACGCTCCTAGGGAGCGCACACAAGCAGGGGGCGGGAGGCCATTTATAAACGGCCACCCGCCCCTGTACTACCACCGTCTGGCCATTTATATACAACGGCCGGACGGGAAGTGGTTAAGGCAGAGAGAACAATAAGTCAGTCTTCTCCTTTAAGATTGAATTGTCCAGAAACCTCTCACCCTGTATGGGTGAGAATCTGAGTACAACAAAACCATCCCCTTTAAAGGGACCACAAATGAAATATGGGTGAAAGATAGCACATGTCCAGGACCCATCCTCACTATCCTGTACATATGCCCCCATCTCAACATCAATACAATGTATCTCGGGGCCCCATTGGTGATTTTTTCCATTGGGTTCTGCTCTACCACTCTGTCATCAAGTTATTACTCCAAGACTAAATTCTAAGGCTAATGCTAGGTTCACATCTGTGCATGTGTGGTTGATGCATGTTGCAGCATTTTAAAGTGGAATTTTACCCATAACATCTTGATAAAAAGAATGTTCTTTAGCGAGGAACATACTTTCCATATTAATTATGCTACCAAAATGAGTATGTACTGTAAATTGCTTCCAGCATTGTTCCTGTTTTTCTTGGTGGAGGCTGCCATTTTGCTGAAGCCCAAAGCTCCTGAGCAGCAGGAAAACTTTATATCGGCCTCTAGTGGCTCTGATTTTTGGCACAGTGCCAAAAAAGAAAGCGCAACTGAGCATGTGCAGACCAGAGTGAGACAGAGCATTACTGGATTTTAAACAGTATAGCACTTATTTTTAATGTTTTATATAGCTATACCTGCTAAAGGGGCTAACCTGAAGTGATCTAGCAGAACTTAATTTTCTGATAAAATTCCACTTTAAGCTTGTTTTTGATGCTTTTTGATTTCATGTCCTTTTTCATAGGAGGAGACTGGTTGTTAAACACAGAGCCCTACCAAACAAATCAACAAAAATGCTCTTCCATTGAAGTCTGAGGAACCAAAAATGTGCCATGTTTAAAAAAAGTGTGAACAGGACCCACAAGAAATGTTACCTGGACTGTAGTGCATTTCTGTGCTTCAGCAAGAGCACTAAAAATGCACAGATCTAAACCTAACCTAAGAGGAGACTAAATGATCCTCCTGCACTCTCTATAAGGTACAATCAAACAAAATTGATAACCGAAATCCATTCATAATGACAGCTGCAAGCAAAGTGGAATATGAGGGTGCAGAAAACCCATTTAACATTTCCAATTAAAATAAGAATTCCGGTGAGTAATACAACCTGCTAAAGTCTATCCAAAACTGAAATGTATCAGTGTGTCTGAGTTTACCACATTGATTCTACACTGCTGTCAGTAGCATGGTGGAGAGGTCTCTTTCCAAATTGGATATTACTATGACAGCCATGCCTCTGCTGTGAGCTGATCTTTTTGAATCTGCTTTTTAAATTACATTTTCTATACATCAAGAAACTTAAATGAAAAACTGTATACCTGCAAATTACTGCTATGATATGCTTCACTAATTTCTCTTTGTGGCAGTTTCCTGCATTTCTAGAAACATTTCTAAAACCCATATGTCCCAGTAAGCAATCAAACATGGCTTAACACCAATGCGAATTATAATTACTGTAATGACAGCACCCTTGCTTTCTCAGATGGAATTTTTCTGTATGTAATAGTGAGAGTTCAGATAGCAGGTCAGTTTAAAACCAGTTTTTTTTGCACATCCAGTTCAGAAAAGCATTTACAGCATTCCTGTATTTAAGAAGAACTCCGTGAATTGCAGCCCAATTGAAAAATGTTTTGGCTTAAGGGGTTTAAGTCCAGCAAGGTTTATACCACATCGTAGACTTAGCTCTTTTAGTTACTATTTACATTTTTACTAAGTGCTGGGAGTGTAACTATTGCTATACTGCCAGCACTCCAACACTGAACCTTCAGATTTCCGAGGCAGCAGCTGCAGAGTTGTTTGTAGCAGCTCTGCCCACCTGTCCTCTCCTCTTGCCCAGTCAGGAAAGACTTTGTATAATACCCATTTGCAAAACACTAAGCCTGTCACAGCTTCGGGAGTATTGCAATAGCTGTACTTACAGGGCTTAGTAAATATATAAATGGTAGATAAAAGAGATACACCTAGTTGGACTTAATCTCTTATACGCGAGCACATTTGTAAAAGTGGATGTGTCGCCTGCACGATGTTGAACCTGGCTGCATATGAAAATGTGCTACCTGCTCCATATGGAACCTGGCTAAATAAGAAAAAAATCCAATCTGGTATCATACATGCTAATGATATGGCACAGTATCTAAAACTGTGGTCAGGAAACACAGCTCAGGATTACTATGTGAAGCTTGTCTAGCTACAGGCTCTGTATGGTACAGCAACACCTGCTCTTACGTTACCATCTGATAATATAACCTTCCCTGCTGCATACCACTGGGCATATGCTAAGGCCTTACACTGGGAAACATATTCTTCTGCTAGTGATAGGCATTCAGTGGTTATTGTCCCTTTACCAGGTATTACATAAGAGACCTTATATCTGCACAGGAAGCAATATATTGCCCTCAATGATGACACCATTTTTAAGGCTTGGCTACTTATGTTGTGCTTATTTCACTAATAATGAATACTTGAATGCACTACTGGTGAGAGAATGCGGTCTTCTTCCCATTATAAGTGACTTTTTAACTCTACAGACTACTAAATAAGAGAAAGAAGAGGAGAGTACATAGTTCCTGAACTATAAGGAGCCATCTGACTCCTCTCAACGTCTCCAGCACCCCTTTGCCCTCTACAGTTCTCCTGGCAAATTTAGCTGCAAATGCCCAGAGGAAAAAGTTATCACAATTTGTACATTTTGGGGGTTGGTGCTGCCCTATCTAACCTTTCTGCCCTAGGCACTGGTGAACCAGTGTTATTTTTGTCAAACACAGACCTGTACGAGTTAGCAAACTGATATCAGCATCACAAGTCCAAAGCCCATTGAAGCAGGCCATAAAGCTGATCATGACATATGTCTTCGTACCTTTGTAGACAGGGCCGTAGATACCACAGTCCTCCTGTACAGGGCCCATGCCAGCCGGGGGGCCCAGGTGGCTAAGTGAATTGGATGTGGTCAGGGAGAGTGATCAGCACAACGTGGGGGGCAATTACTGGGACCGATCCCCTATATGGCTCTTTCTGCAGCAGCTGAAAGCTGGCTTCTTCTTCTCTCCCTCCCGCTGGTTTTCAGCTGCTGTAGAGAGAGTCATACATGGGATTGGTTCCAGGTAATTGCTGCCCGCCTCAACCATGGCCATCCCTGTACGCTATACATATGCTGCCCAGGCCACCCTGTGTACCCCCACCCCACAGTGCTGGCGGCTTCCCTCCTCTGTTTTTCACCAGCAGCTGCAAGCACACAATAGGATGCTTCAGGATAAAAAGTGGGAAAAGGATCCAGTAAATATGTCACATTTACCAGACCCTTCCTTTCCTGAATGAACACAATGAGTGATCGAAACAGATCACTCACTTTGTTCATTGATAACTGAACCAAAGAAAACTGTTTTTCTTTTAGGGGGGGCGGCGGGGGCGGGGCCCTGTCAGGTTGGCTGTAAGGGGCCCAGTGTTTTCTAATAGCAGCCCTGTTGGTAGAGTACATAAACTGGAATAACAAAGCTCAAAAACTGTTGACTCTTAATCTGAATGATAAAAAAATACAAATAGAAATAAAAGCAGATGTGTAGCTCATAAAAATAAATTCTATTTTCTCTTTCAAATAAAACAAGCAATCATTTGATTGAGCTTCACTTGTAATAAAATATCCCTGTGGAGTTTGATCTTTGGTACTTCTGGCAGTACCAAAAGATTATACCCAAACAAAAAGCCACATAGAAGATTACCCAAAATAAAACAGGCAGCTGCAGCAAAACAGCTACCTTTTTACGTTATTCATAGTCCAATATGTATTTTCTTTCTGCATGCCATTTTCTATATTTTTAGAAATATGTTCAGGTCTCAAAAATGCTTGATAAGATGACAACTGTTCTTCTGTACACCTGGGTGTGTGTGGATCTGAGATTTGGCTTAAGCAGAAAACAAAAGAGCATGAAATCAACGCCATTCTCACACAAAACAATATAATGATCAGTACTGTCGCTTTAATCACCATCTCAAAACACACAATGTGTCTGCTAACAGAAACCAGTAACAGAACACCAGCAAAATGAAGCAGAACATCTGCTAAATTCTTTATAAAATACGGTTATCAAATTTGTACTGGATATTTCCTCTTCTGAAATTTCCTATCATCCCTCTGGAAAGCACAAGCACATTATTTCCTCTCCTGATTCAATTGTGAATGAGCCATTAGCTTCTACAGATGTTTATCTAATGCTCCTGTATGCTTTTCACTGAATTCATCAGGAAGTGGACTTCAGTAACTTCAACAGGTCACAGCCAAATCTATTATCAAGAAAGGGTTTGCATTTTCTATATTTAGTATCCTTATAAGAGCTTTTTTCTGACTTTTTAGGACAGCCGAGCTAATGCAATTAAGGCAAAACTGAAGCTAAAGTCAAAGCATGGCCACAGGGAGATTTATTTCAGACATTGCTTTGCAAGGAGAAGTCTCAGAATGAAGAAAAACTCACTCCCTATAAAACAGGACTAAACTTAGGTTTATAGAGGAACTGTATGTATTTTAAAAGGTCTGCGCATTTTCCTAAGCTTTAGAAAATTTTAAACTATATTGAACACATCAGCAGCAACATAGATAATAAAAGCAATGTCAAGTAGTGAAAACCTATAAGTAGAAGTCTTTTGTACATTTTAGAGCTTGACACTAATGTGACACAACAGCAGTTCACTGCTCAAGGCCAATCATACTTTTATTTTGTCAGCAGCGAAGGGAAGTTATTGTTCTGGTGAATACTGAGCATTGAAGTAGCACTGCTATTCTGCTTTCTACTATAGCTGCTAAAGGTACTGAAAGTCAAACAAATAATAAACTCTTCAAGACTTCAAAAAGATACAGCTATAATGCATCCCACACAACATTCGATAGTCTGAAGTGGAACTAAAGGAGTGAATAGATAGATGGAGCAGTTGATATTAGGATCACTTCAAATACATCTTAAAATATTTTATTTACATTTCTCAATCTGTTCTAGTTTTGAAACACAAGCGCAATTTTGTTAACACAGAAAAGGCCCTTTACATGCAAGGAAAAAAATAAATAAAAAGCACATTATGCTCTAGACAAAAAATATATACCAAGTTAAGTGGCACAATACACACAAGCACTTTAGCAATGCCCTAAAATGAATGCAAATGGCAGCATCTAATGGCATTGGTGCTGTAGTTAAAATTTTCATGCATTACTCTGCACAGCCCCCTTTACTGCAAAAGCCAAGCTTTACATAACCAGTATCCATGTGTGCAAGTCCACAATGCTCGTGAAACAGATAGTCAATTAATAAGTGATACTAAACCCATGACCCTGCATTCACTATATCTGATCTCCCACAGTACACACAACATGGAAATGCAATTACTTTAGTAAATATAAACTGATAAATACCTTCTCATCAGCAGTTACTGTCTTGTGACTTCAGCAGAGCACTGCTTAAAGCTTGTAGGAAGTGTTTTCTTTCTGCTCCAGGAGGATGTGAAACCCTTGACCCTCTGTCTGGACAGTGCTGATTGGCCCTGTGCTAATCACATGCACTCTCCCAAGAAAAAAAAAAAAACCTCTCTAGCAATACACACCAAACTGAGCATGTGCATATGACTACGGATTCAGTGTGTATCAGGTGCTCATTTGAACAAGAGGAGGGGCAGAGAAGAAAGGATCAAGCAGCCTTTTTACACAATGCAGAGGATTAACCCCTTAGGTTCCACAGTGAGTATAACAAGCATGTTTTACTGCATATACAGACTGATTTTACGGTTTTGGGTTTAGTAACACTTTAAGTACTTTTATTAGATCCAAAATAGAACAGCACAATGGAAACAGCAGACATATTACTCCATGTGATAGTTTTAAGTCAGCCAAGTTTGTCATTAAACTCAATCAATTGCACAGCCTGTACAATACCAGTATTTTAGTTTGTCTAGTGATTCCCTGGAAGCTAGGGAGATTGAACTGAATCAGACTGCTGTTTAATCCAGGTCACCTGGTCAGAATGCACGAGTAACTTTTCTCCACCCAAACCCTGTAAAAGGCAGACAAAGACCCAATTATGATGAATAGGGATTCAGCCAGAGGATGTCCCAGAACCAAATCAAGTGTCTGAAAGTCAAGGGTGGAGTAGAGGTTCAAATGTTCTTGTGTCTATACCTCTCAGTCAAGGATAATAGCATTTACACCGGCTTACCGAGCACATTTCCACTAAAACCAAAACATATTTTTTTTTTTACTCACCAGCCACTTTATTAGGTACACCTGTTCAATTGCTTGGTAACACAAACTGCTAATCAGCCAATCACATGGCAGCAACTCAATGCATTTAGGCATATAGACGTGGTGAAGACAACTTGGTGAAGTTCAAACCGAGCATCAGAATGGGGAAGACAGAGGATTTAAGTGACTTTGAATGTTGCAAAGGTTGTTGGTGTCAGAAGGGCTGGTCTGAGTATTTCAAAAACTGCTGATCTACTGGGATTTTCACGCATAACCATCTCTAGGGTTTACAGACAATGATCCAAAAAAGAGAAACTATCCAGTGAGCGGCAGTTGTGTGGATGGAAATGCCTTGTTCATGTCAGAGGTCAGAGAAGAATGGGAAGATTGGTTGCTGCGACATTCAGATGATAGGGGCAGAATTTGGCATAAACAACATGAAAGCATGGATCCATTCTGCCTTGTATCAACAGTTCAGGCTGGTGGAGTAATGGTGAGGGGGATATTTTCTTGGCACTAGCAAGGTGTACCTAATAAAGTGGCTGTTGAGTGTGTGTGTATATATATATATATATATATATATATATATATATATATATATATATATTATACACTCCTCTGCACTTCAGATAAGATGTGACACTAGCACTGTCATATTTTCAAAAAGTAACAAAGACAATCTCCACAACACAACTTAAGCTGATAATATTCATATTACTCCTAACAGCTGCAAGCGAGAATTATTACGACTATAGCAGTATGGTGTAATACTAAATGATATGTCATTTGAATCTGCTAAATTGTAAGGCTTTTCAGAACCCTCTTGGGAATGTACAAGTGTAAATATCACATGTGTTAGTGACAAAAGCTCTTATGGGACAGTCACTGCACACAGGATGTTAAGTGTAGGCTAACTTTTAGTGCATCATCGAGTTTATTTTTAACAAAAGCTCAAATGGGTCAGTCACTGCACAGAAGATGGACTTAAAGTCTAAGCTAACTTTTAGTGTATCATCGCCTTTATCTTTGACAAAAGCTCACATAGGATAGTCACTGCACAAAAAATGAATATACAGTCTAGGCTAGCCTTTAGTGTATCATGAAATTAATTTTTGACAAAAGTTCATGCGGGATAGTCACAGAACAGAAGATGAACATGAAGTCTAGGCTAACCCTTTAGTGTCTCATCACCATTGACAAAAATTCATATCGGATAGTCACTGTAGATATGAACAGAAAGTCTAGACTAGCCTTTAGTGTATCACCTTTATTTTTGACAAAAGGTCAAATAGGATAATCACTACACAGAACATTAATATAAAGTCTAGGCGAACTTTATGCACATCAGTGGAAGGTGAAAGGGACTAAAGTAGATCAGTTGATCTGTCCATGGTGCTGAAACCTCCTTTATCAGCAATACAGTATCTCTCACTTCCCACAAAAAGTTTCTACTGTAGCAAAGATCCCATGATTTGACACAAAGCTGACACTCAACTACTTTATGTTTATTCAAAAGCAAACTGCAATTGCACTTTTAAAGCCCAAGAGTTCTTAAATGAAAGTAAAAGCACAATTTTATAGTTAAAATGTAACAATCAGGTTTAATGCGATGACTTTACTGAGATCTCACCTACAAGAGTGATTAGTAGCCACATCCACTATATCCATGCTTAGTGACTATGTAAGTGTAGATGAGGCAGTACCACCAGGCCTTTCACTAATGGATGAAAAAAAAAACCACTGAAGAAGAAGCGAACTGCAATGCATTCTCTTAAGGGCTGATCATTCAGTCAGTGAGAAGCCTGCGTTAAGCAAGGAAGAGAGGAAGAGATGCAGTACGAGTGAGTGAGACAGACTTCAGCATTGAAACTCACCACTTGAATTCTTGCTCTGTTTCAGACGCTTTCCACATAGACACTGCAGCATATGCACTCCTTTCTTCAGGAAATGCCCAAGAATCTTCATTGATTGACTTTTTTCTGATTCCTCGACAGATTCACAATGTGAAAGAGTCAGCAGCTCATCATCCAGTGCTTGGATCTCGCAGTCGAGGCATTGACTGGGCTTTGGTTGACAAGTAGCATTCGCGATCAGAGGATTAGAAAACTGTTCAAACGTGACATGTTGGGACTTTTCAATGAAGGCAGTTTGCCAAAAGGGGCAGAGCCTGGGAGATCTTTGTGAGGACGTCAGACAGAAAACACTGAGGTTCTTCCAAGCCCAGCCTCCTTCAACAAAGGATGAGGCTTTCAACAACAGCAGCCACTGCACAGATCAGGCTGGAGCTGATAGAGGAGGAATCAGAACACAGGCAAATGAACGTACTGAGACAAGCTACCGGTAGTTGGCCACACAACTTAAATATTTGAAATGACATCTCTTCTTAATGTACATAATCTATTCCATTGATTTCTGATGCCATCATACATCCTTTTTTATTTCACTGCATGTCTTTTTATGCAAACATAAATTGTAAAGCGTCTGCTTTGTAGAAAGTGATTGTAAAGCAGAAACTGTATCAAGATGGGTCTCATTTTATCAGATGTTATATATTGTTTGTGGAATAATAAGAATCTTTTATACTGTCTTCACCAATCTTTCTTTAGCAGGTGTAAAAAAGTAATGTTAAAGTGGCACTCTTCTTTTCTACATTACATAATCTTAGCCCTCCCTTCCTATTTTTTTGAACAGTCTAATATTCACTTTTCTTCAATTTTTTTTAGAGGAACAACACAAATTTGATATATTTTTCTTCATGTTTTGATTTGGAATAGAATGTGTAGTGTTCCCAATGCATTTGTGTGTATGGAAATAAAAGCTATTAGAAGGATTTTGAGCTTTATTCACTTTTTTCAACACACTGCTATTATTTTGAACACAACTGTATATATACATTTTTTTTTTTTTTTTTGAAAGGATAGAGTCTGTACACTGTGAAACTAAAAAGCTGGCATGAAATTCATCATTCAGTATCTTCTCTACTGCAATCACTGTACCTAGCAATGTGCAACTTATTACTCAATACATATTTGAATTTAGTCACATACACGTTGTAAGTAAATGTGCTGAAGAGGATCACATTCTACATTGCTACTGAAAGTGTATGTAAAGGCTAAACTTCTATTTTTTGGATTTGAGTAGAGTAAGGAAGGGTTAGAACCTCTGTTAAAGGATAGGTTCACCTTTTGGAACATGTTCCATGTTCCACCCATTTTTAGGGTGGAACATGTAACATGTTTCATCCTCTGCCACCTCTCCTCCAATCCCCCCCTCACCAATCCCATCCTCCCCTGTGGCAGCAGGCTGTGAGGATGTGAATCCTTACTCTGCATCCACTGTCACACTTTGAATGGATGATGCAGCAGGTCTGTGCTGTTTTCACAGTTTCATGCAAATGAATGCCTACAAGTACCACCAGCCATTGAGGCTGACAGCTTGTACTTCTCAATGAACTATGAAGGCACTGGTGAAAGCTCTGGTAGTTCATGGATTCTTCCTGCTCTCAAGTAACTGCCTGCCAGTACAAGGTAAAGGCAGACAGTTATGCTGAGAGTCTGCAGGAGCCTGAGATTGCACCCGCATTCTGCCGATTGCAGGTGCAATGCTCTGCAGGCTCCTTAGAAAAAAAATAGTAAATGCACATTTTTTTTTTACCCGCAAAAAAAGCGAACTTATCCTTTAAGTATTAAATGCAATCTGTGTCCCCACTTGTGAGATTCACAGTGAGGGGAAATCCACACTTTTAGAATGATAAAAGTGGGCACAAAAATATGTGCCCGCTTTCATGGGCATGCGCCCACCTCCCCCTCTGATTTAGTATGAGGTTTTATTTGGAATTCATTAATTAACTCAGTTAAGAACAATTATAGGTTAATGCCCCTTTAAGAAGGTACAGTGGTTTGAGCAGGAAAATAGGTCCCCCATGTGACCTGGTGGAATTTTTTTTAATTTAGGGACTTATTATATAAGCAACCGCTTGAGGAGGCATTTAACCAGTTGGTCAGTGCCGCTCAGCTAGCTCCCCTCTCTCCCACCCTTGTCGCATGGCACTTGATGTGGTTTTGTCACCCTTTCATATAAAGGGGGGACTTGTGTTGTATTTTATTTATGCTATGCTTGAGTCCTTAATGACTGAGCAATTCCTTTTTTGAATGTTAACATTTAGTAGCATATGAAATGAATAAGAACTTTTTAAAGGTATTATATATTGAGTATTAATTTAATTACACCAATAAAAGTGCTGTGGCCAAAATTTATGCCAAGAAAATGTGTTGTGTCATTATTTATAAATAGAAAGTAGTATTCGTGGGAGGGAGTATGTGCGGCCTGCATTCCCATGACCACCAGAATGTCTCTGGCACAGGAATTCAAGGGAATT